AAATTTTTTTGAATAGTTTAAAGATCTTCTGAAGATAAATAAGAAAAGTTTGAACATTTGTCTTTTTAATCATCTGGCAGCACTGAATTAATTAAATTTATCCAAATTCCTATTAAAAATTACTTAATCACCGAAGAATTTTAGTTTAAAAATTCTAAAAATAATTGAATTTCAATAGGTTTAATTCTTTAGAAATATAATTACATTTTTCGCATGTTTTAACACAAAAAAATTTTTAATTGCTAGTATAAAATAATTAACCATCTCAAAATAATACCGATTTATTTAAGAATTTTAGCTCAAAAATTCTAAAAAAAATGTTTAATGCTAATTTTTAGAAATAATGAAATTTATTTAAGGATTTAAACTGCACTTTTTGAAAATTTGAATTTATATATAGAAAATTCATTGCTCTAAAATTATTAAAGTTTTAAGTAAAAATTAATTTAAATTATTTAATTAATTTAATTTTTTAATTAAAATTATTGAAGTTTTATAAATAAAAATTAATTGAATTCCTCAAAATTCTTTTTAAAAATAATTGATTTGCGGAAGGATTTTAATTAAAATTTTTTTAAAATAATTGACTTCTGATCATTTCAATTTTTTTTAATAACAATTTTTAGAAATCAGTGAATTTTTCAGGTTTTTAATTGAAATTTTAGAAAATTTGAATTGCTGTATAAAATTTATTAATCAATAATTATTTAAATCTTTAAATCAAAATTACATAAATTTCTCAAGGTTCTTATAAAAAATAATTATATTTTTAATCAGAATTTTGAGAAAGTTCTTCGGGAATTGAATTATTTAAAAAATATCAATTAAAATTTGTCTAAAATTCAATTTTTGGCGGAAATAAAAAAATTTTCAATATTTCAAAATTTTTAAGATGAAAAATCAGTCATTTAAATTATTTATTGGAATTGATTGAATTTCGTTAATTTAAATTTTTTTAAATTTAATTAATCATCTCAAATAATGTCGATTTACTTAAGAATTTTTTATCAAAAATTATTTTAAAAATTCTTCAATAATTGACTTAAAAAATACTTATTAAATATTCATATTATATAAAATTCAATTACTGTCGGAAATAAAGGAATGTAAAATTTATTTTTGAAAAATCATTTTCACTTGAAAATTTTGTAGATGAAAAATTGAATTGTTTAAAAAATTACCTAAATATTATTTAAATTTCTTATTCAAATTCAATTGAAGTCAAGAAATAAAAAATTCAACATTTTCTTTTAAAACTCACTGTGATTGCAAAATTTTTAAAATTGAAAAACCGATTTATTTAAGTTATTGAATTATTGTAATAATTATTAAATTTATTTAGTTTAATTTTTATCTAACTAATAGTTTTTCTAAACCAAAGATTAGTGAGGAAGAAGATAAAAAAAAATCTATTTCTTATTGAGAGAGAACCATAACGTCCCATAAAAATTTGGCATTTAAAAAAATGTACTCATCTTCAACAGTAATTATCAAACAATAAATAAGATGCATCTAAAGTATATGCAAGTAATATATAAAACATTGTAATGTACAATGTAAAAGTACATTGACAAAAGACCCTGACATTTATATCTAGCTTGAATCTTGTCACCGAAAGACTGTTAATAATACATATATTATAACGAGAGAGAATAATTTCAACATGCTAAGAGCGCATTATTATCTCGAAAACCTTTTCGATTAAAAATTTCTTTTCTATATATTCTAAAAATGTAATAATATATATAATTTATAATCAACGTAAAGAAATATGTCGATGAAAATAATAATTAAAAAAAAAGAACAAATAGTTATTATATGAAGAACGAAATACCAGAATATGTGAGTCATAGATTCTGGAAGAAAAAAATTGGAAGTTCCAGGATGTGAGTCGATCCTTGCAAAATCGGAATTCGAATGACGTTTCCCTTTTTATGCAACCTTTTCTATATACCTCACCGCGCCCTTCACCACCCTTGTTCTAATTTCATAACTTTCCATTGACGTATTCACAATGCGCTCCTATAAGTCATGAGATGAAATTGCAAGGTCGTTTCTCTTTCTAGCTTCTCTCTCTCTCTCTTTTTCTCTTCTCTTTTACTTACTGTGTATTTATATATGTATTCAATGAAGAAAGCATTCTTGCATGTTTACATTCCGTCTATTGCCAATCGAATCAGGAAATAGAATTACATAAAGAATGACATTCGCACTTCCATATGAGGTAATTCACATACTAAATTGTTTCTTCTATTCTTATACAATTTCTTCTCTTAAGGGAAACATCAGTCATCGAAAGAATTTTTTTTAGAAGAATTTCTAGAAAAAGAGAAATGGAAAAAAATTTTCACCTGGGACAGTTTGAAGTTTCTCAGGAATAGCGAAAGTTTTAACTGGAACATCTAATAATTTCGATAATTTAGTGAAATTTTTATAGCTGTTCCAGGTAAAGATATTTTTTTCCTGTAGATATTTTGATTTCGTCAAATTGATACCAAAGTGAATAAAATTTTCTTCCTGCAAATTCTTTGATTTTATTACAATACCAAAACGAATGAATATTTTTTCCCTATAGTTTCTTTTTGATTTTATCAAATTGATACCAAAGAACATGAAATTTTTTCCCTGGAATTTTTTTTTATTTTATTAAATTCCAGGCTTTGCACTCATCTACTAATACCTACTATTTACTACTTTTTTTTACGTAATGCTACTATTTGCGGGTACTTTTTTAGACTTCAGCCACTAAAAGTTAATATTTCTGTTTTTTTTTTGAGAGAATTTACACTACTTTTTAAATTCGCTAATACTAGAAATCAAAAAACTATTCTCAAAAATTATAATCAAATTCTTTAATACTATTCAATTATTTTCAAAAAATATTCGAAATTCAATTATTTTCAATATCTTGTATTTTCATAAAATTTCGCAAAACAATATTCAATTATTTAATTAGAAAAATTGATAAACTTCCCCCGAAATTCGATTATTTTCATAAATAATAAAATTCCCACAGGAATTCAATTAATTTAAAATAGCATTTTCAAAAAAATCAATTATTTAACAAAATTTGTATACAATTCTTAACAATAATTTAATTACTTTCACTAATAATAACATTTTTCATGGAAATTCAATTTTTTAAAAAAATGTTTGATAAAATTCTAAGTAAGAATTCAATTATTTTCATAAATAATAAAACTCATGGAAGAATTTCAATTATTTTTAAATAACTATTTTAAATTAATTAATCGAAAAATTCAATATTATTTTCTCAAATAAAATTTTCCACAAGAATTCAATTATTTAAAATAAAATTTTCATAATATTTATTATATTTCCAAAAAATTAATTATTTAAAACAATGTTTATATAATTCTTATGTATGAAGAATGCAATTATTTTCACGAAAATAACAAAATTTTTCACAAAAATTCAATTCTTTTTAAATATTGTAATAAAATTATTGTTCGCAATAATTCACTTATTTTTATAAATAATAAAATTCCTCTTAGGAATTAAATTATTTTTGAAAATTATAATAAAATTCTTAGCAACTATTTAATTATTTTCATAATTCATCGCAGGTTTTCAATTATTTTTCATATAATTTTACAGGAATTGCTCGAAAAATGTAATTATTCTTAAAAATTTAATTTCAGTTTCTCGGAAAAATCAATTATTTGAAAAATGTTTTTTTTAAATTCTTGGGAAGAATTCAATTATTTACAAAAATATTAGAATTTTTCACAGGAATTCAATTACTTTCAAATATTTTAATAAAATTGTTCGAAAGAAATTAATTATTTAAAAATTTTAAATACAATTTTAATGAAATTGATTTGAAATAATTCAACTATTCTTTTACATTTTAATAAAATTCTTCCTAAAAATTAAATTATTTACATAAATAATTCTTCAAAAGAATTCAATTATGTGGATAAATAACAAAATTATTTCCGAAAATTCAATTAGTTTGAGGCATTTTAATAAAATTTTTTGCAAAATTCAATTATTTTCATAAATAACAATATTCATCACAAGAATTCAATTATTTTTAAAAGAAATAAATTTCTTCTTGGAAATTCAATTATTTAAAAAAATTCTAATAAAATCGTTCGCAAAAATTCAATAATTTTCAGAAATAATAAAAAGCTTTTTAGAAATTCAAATATTTTCAAAAAAATTTAATTTAATTAATTTAATAAAAATTCAAGCAAAATTCAATTTTATTTAAAAAAATTCTTGTAAAAATCTTCGTTAGAATTCAATTATTTTCATGAATAATAAAAATTTCTCAGGAATTCAATTATTTAAATTCGAATTTGCATAAAATTAGTCGAAAAGAAATTAATTATTTAGAATTTTTTTAAACATTCTTAGCAAGAATTATATTATTTTTATAAATATTTAAATTTTTTCATGAATAATAACATTCGTTGCAGGAATTTAATTTATTAGTAAGAAGGATAAAAAAGAAGTAAATATTTTTTGATGAAAATTAAGAAAAAGTCAGAAAAATAAAATATAGAATGAAATTTTTGTCCGCAAACTGAATGGAATTTTTTTCCTTGCAGTTTTTTTTTTTGCTTTATTAAATTGATACTAAAGTGAATGAAATTGATAGCAAAAATTTGGATTAATTTATGATGAATGGTTGAAATTTTTATTTAATATTTACTAGAATGGTTATTGAAATTTGATTCAAGTGTTCTAGGGAAATTTTTGAATTTCGCGCCAAAGAATTCATTAAATTACCGCCTAGAGGGCATGAAAATTCTCTCACAAACGAAATGAAGCAAATAGAGTAAATGAAAATATACTTCACTAATATCGTGGATTATCGACGCAATTTTAACTTATAGTAATTATCATCAATTGTGATTTTAATTTTCGCTTGTAAAAACCAAACGTCAGCTTCAATCTACATGCATAAGAATGAATCTATTTCTATCTATTTTATTTTTCTTAATTAACAATCTTGAATCGACTGTTTGCAGAATTGATTATTTCTTCAAACCATGTTCGTTAGAATACTGCGGCAGTTTATGATAAAGGGGAATTCCATACATAATATGATTGTTTCAATTTCAATTCAAATATACGAGCAGAACTTCAGATGTTAATTATCAATAGAAATCACTGGCAACTTTTAATTTACAATACAGCTTGAAAAGTGCAATTGTATTTTACACTCGATCAATGTGTGTGTATATATAGAGGAGTTGGAAATAATATGTAATTGTTTATTGAAGGTAGCGAATGTCTTGCATAGTACATGCGCATGTTTAACAAGCGATATCGTATTAAGTTGACGAGTAAGGGTAATAAATAAATTAGAAAGATATAATAAGCGTTGTATCAAATATAATATGAAACATGAAACAGCTGGATGTCGAAATAAATTGAATTTCTATATAGGAGGCAGGGAGAATAACTTTTGTTGTAAGTAATAAAGTGACTCTTTTTTTCCTCTCTGCTTCTTTTTCCTCTGTCTCTTTTTTCTCTCTGTCTTTTTCTTTCTCCCTTTCTCTCTTTTTCTTCTTTTCGTTTTTTTTTCCTATCAGGGTGTCTACTAACTGGGAAATAGCCGAGAATTCAATTTGTCCGGGAAAAACCGGGAATAAACCAGGAATTTTATGCCAAACCGGGAATTTTTTTACCAAATTAAAAAAAGTTTTATAATTTTAATTTGTTTTTAAAAAATCGCTTTTTATTTCAATTTTTATAGATATGTTAGGCTCAAAAGCCGAAAACGGCCAATGGCCGGAAAAAACAGCCAAACCTAGTTTTGGCAAGTGAAATTTTGCCAAAACTAGGTTTGGACGTTTCATTTCGGCCATTGCCTGTTTTAAATTGACAAAACTAGGTGAGGCATTTCAAATTGTGAGAAAGACCGCTTCGTTATACAATAGGAATATATTTATTTAAAAATGTGTCATTGATTAATACTATTTACAATAAGATGAAATTTCTCTAACAAAAATCCATTGATATTTTGCACATAAAAGTTAATTAAAAAAACTTTTTTAACACTTATTTATTTTTACACAGACTAATTTATCTTTACACAGGCTAATTTACCTTGTTGACGATTTCTTATTTCATACACACAATTATTCAATACAGAAACAATATGTGACCTGGTCTATGAAAAGGGACCTTACGTGCGAAAACAAGTTTTCGAGAAAACAGCAGTTAAAGTTTAACTTAGAAAAACCCTTGTAACTTTTTTTAATATTAATATTTTTTTATCAAGTTAGGCTTATTTTCTTTACCGTGGATTACAGTATCAAAATAAAAAACATACAAGTAATGACAAACATTTTTTAATAATTGTTTATATAAATTAATAACAAACTCCCCAAACATAGAAAAAATAATCTAAGTTTTCAAAATAGCAACAATAAGTACATGCTAATTCTAAACAAATTTCCTATTAATACGGCGGTCTTTCTTTTTCTATTCTTTCTTTCTTTCAATTTCTCACAATTTGAAATGCCTCACCTAGTTTTGCCAAATGTCAAATTGACAAAACCAGTTTTGGCAAATGACAAATTGACAAAACTAGTTTTGGCAAAATTTAAATTGACAAAACTAGTTTTGGACAAATTTAAATTGCCAAAACTAGTTTTGGCAAATGTCGATTTGCCAAAACTAGATTTGTCAATTTAAAACGGCCAATGGCCGAAGTGAAACGTCCAAACCTAGTTTTGGCAAAACTGCACTTGCCAAAACTAGGTTTGGCTGTTTTTTCCGGCCATTGGCCGTTTTCGGCTTTTGAGCCTAACAGATACACTGTAAAAAATTTAGGGAGTTAACGGACTCGGGAGTTGGGGGTTAAATTTTTCGAGTTAAAAATCAACTCCAAAAGAGAGTTATTTTCTAACTCCCTTCATTCAACACCCGAGCGAGTTATTTTTTCCTTGGGGAGTTAGTAGCATTTGGGTGTGAAATTTTAACTCTCTTTATTTAACTCCCCTGGCATTAACTCCACAATGGGTGCGACTTTTATAGACCCCCCGGGGGAGTTAAAATTTAACTTTCTTTTTTTAACAGTGTATTTATACTGTTTTCTAAAATTTGAATTAGTTAAAAATAATTAATTTAATAGTAAAAGATCAGTCAATGATTCAAATATAGTTGTATGTAAATAATTTTAAAAGAAATTATGAAATTAATAGAAATTTTGTGAAATTCAACTGAAAATAATTAAATTTGTTAAAGAATTTCATTAAAAATTTTTTAACAAATCGACTTTTCAAAGTATTTTAATTTAATAATTGATAAATAATTTAATTTTTTCATAAATAATAAAATTTTTTAGAAGGATTTAATTATTTTCATAAATAGTCAAACTCATTGTAGAATTTCAATTATTTTTAATCCAATTTTAATTAAATTCCTTAAAAAATGTATTTATTCTTAAAAATTTCATTAAAATTCATCGAAAGAATTCAATTATTATTTCCAGAAACTGTAAAAAAAAATTCTTTTCCAGAATTCAATTATTTCCATAAATAGCAAAATTTTTTAGAAAATTATTTTTTAAAAAAATTTTTCACAAGAATTCAATTATTATTCTCATAAATTTCCATAAAATTCTAAAAAAAAATCAATTATTTTTAAAAGTAATAAAATTCTTCGCTAAAATTCAATTTTGTTTAAAAAATGTTTTAAATTCTCCTCAAAATTTCAATTATCTTTATAAATAATTAAATTGTTCTTCAAAATTCAATTATTTTCAAAATTTTTTATAAAATTCTACGCAAATATTTAATTATTTTTATAAATAATAAATATGTTACAGAAAATTCAGTTTTTTACCAAATTTTTATAAATTTCTGCGCTGTAATTCAATTCTTTTCATAAATAATAAATTGTTTACAAGGATTTAATTATTTTCATAAACTCATTGCGGAATTTCAATTATTTTTAATAAGAATTTTAATCAAATTCCTTGAAAAATGTAATTATTCTTAAAAATTTTATTAAAAGTCGTCGAAAGAATTGAAATATTTCTAGAAACTGTAAAAAAATTCTTTTCCAGAATAAATTCAATTATTTCCATAAATTTTTCAAAATTCTTTAGATTTACTAAATAATAATAAATGATAATAAATAATAACATTTTTCTCGAGAATTCAATTATTTAAAAAAATTTAAATAAAATTTTCCACAGGAAATTAATTATATTCAAAACTAAAAATATTTTTCTAAAGAATTCAATTATTTTCACAAATAAAATTCTTCACAGGAATTCAATTCTTTAAAGAAAATTCTAATAAAATTCGTTGCAAGAATTCAATTATTTGCATAAATAACAAAACTTATCGTAGAATTTCAATTATTTTTTGTACAATTTGAAATAAAATGATAGAAAATAGCATTTATTCTTAAAATTTTGTTTTTAATTCGCCGAAAGAATTCAATTATTTAAAAAACTTTTTTGATAAAATTTTTCATAAAAATTGAATTTTAAGAAATATTAAATTATTTAATAAATTATTTATTTTTGTATTTAAGTAATTATGAATTCTCGAATAATTTACTAATGAAAATTGATTAAAAAATGAATTCCACTTAAAATTAATTCTAAAAAACAATTCAATTATTTTCAAGAGTAATAAAATTCTTCGAAGAAATTCAATTATGTTCAAAAGTTTAAAAAAGTTCTCCTCAAAATTTCAATCATCTCTATAAATAATTAAATTCTTCTCCACAATTTAATTATTTTCAAAAATTTTAATAAAGTTCAACGCAAAATTCAATTATTTTCATAAATAATTACATTCTTTGAAAGGATTCAATTACTTTTATAAATAGTTCAATTCTTTGCAGAAATTCAATTAGTATCAAAAGATTTTAATAAAATTGATTTAATTAAATTTTCAATTATAGTTATGAACAGACAAGATTATTTTTAAAAATTGAAAAAATTCCATGTTAAATTCAATTATGTTCTAAATTTTTTATTAAAATTATTAAAGAAAATATTATTTTCAAAAAAATTAAAGAAACTCGTCAAAAGAATTCAATTATTCATAAAAACTCGCATGAAAATTTTTGAAGCCATTTTTAGATTTATTTATGTTCGAAATGAAATAATTTTTAAATTTGATGAGAAAAAAAACCGGGAAAAAATCGGGAATTTTGTTGAACGTAAATAGTAGATAGCCTGCGATTTCACGCCGTTTTTTCTGCACATATCAAATTGAGACAAAAAAAAGAAATCAAAAGTTGATAACTTTTGATTTCTTTTTTTTTGTCTCAATTTGATATGTGCAGAAAAAACGGTGAATTTTTCTCTTTTCGTTTTCCTTTTTTTTTTTTTTTGAATGAAGAGACATACGTCGAGATTGTGAGTTGTCCTTTTGTTTTGCGCGCTTTACAAGCGATTTGGACGAATGAAGAACCGTTTAAGAAGAGAAAATTGCGATAACGACGGATGTTAAGTGCCGTGAAAGAAGGACGACGAAGTAGGCGAGGCGCAGAGAGTGAAACAAGATTGCACAAAGGGAAGTATATACAGTGGTCACCCGGATTCCAGAACTCGATGTCGTGACTTGGCCATGAATTGGCATTCTTTTTTCTTTCATCTTTATACCCTTTAGCGTCTTATTCTTACAAACCACTCGCACTTTTTCTTTCCAATATAAAAAGCATCATGTTGTTGCTTTTTTTCACCCCTCCCACTATACTCTTTCACCTGTTTTTCAACTCTTTTTCTTTCAATTCCACCACAAAAAATAAGAAAGAAGAAGAAGAAGAAGAAGAAAGAGCCACATAAAACCTCGACAGAACCTCGGAATCCACTTATATTTGGAAAATTAATGTCCCTTGTGCACACAACTAATCCCTTTTTTATTGAGAGTATTTCTTGTTCTTTGATATCTGTTTGGTTCTTCTTTTTTGTTTTTTTCTTTTCTTTTCTTAATATATTATGTAGGCTAAGAGGAGGGCGGGGATTATTAACTTTAATAAATTAGCCGGTTAAAATTGCTCAAGGTAAAACTTGTATAATATGATAAAAGTATTTAAACGAGAAGGTCGTAAAAGGTGAGGGTCTTGGAAAAGAAACTCTCTTCTCTGCCTTAAAAATGTACTAATGTTTATTGAAATCTTCTTTTATTTCAGAATTCTTTTTAATTGAGACTGGAAATTTTTTTTTCAATTCCTTTATTAATTAGAAGTGTTTCTCATTAAGGGGAGAAATGTCCTCGAAGGGACTTTATTTTCATTATCCTATAAGGTTTTTAAAAATGTTCGAACGAAAAACTTGTCGCGGTATAAATATTTTCGAAATGAAACAATTTTATAGTATATTCGTTAGCATAATGTACTTTATTCGTTTCATTTCGTTTGTGAGAGAATTTTCATGCCCTCTAGGTGGTAATTTAATGAACTAT